TATATATATATATATATATGGATTAAGACAAAAGCCAAACATATCTTAGCCAAAACATTTTTTCCTCTGACAGACATTATCCTGACAAATGTGAGGATTTTACTTTGCAAATTTTGCAATAAGTAATTATAAACAAAATCAAAAATGTTAGTTTACAAATGCTTTAAATTTACAAGATAAAAAGTAAATTATGGATGATGCTATAGATATATTGTAGTTATATCTGAAATTTTCACACACATATATACAAATATACGTGTATACATACATGCATACACACACACATATATATATATATATATATATATATATATATATATATATATATATATATATATATATATATATATAGATAAGGCCTATTCCATCAATAAAATCGTTATTAATATGAAGAAGTTCCTTGTGGTGTTGAAACCAGATACTTAGGAGTATTTCTATTTTTTCATTTGCTTACCCATTCTTCTCTAATATACTGTACACACACACGCACACACGCACACACACACATATATATATATAGAGAGAGAGAGAGAGACATACACACACACACATGCACACATCTCAGGGATTGATGAAAATTTCATTGCATGCTCCACTTCATGAATTATAACCAAATAACCAAATATCAGATTTTATTAGACCAATAAAAGTAGATATTAAAAAGCATTTCATAACAAAAACAAAGAGAGGTGTAACAAAAAATAGTACCATAAAAGTGTAATACAGAAATATCATAAAGATTAAAATCTTGCTAAACCAGTTCATCGGTCCTTTTTTTATGAGAGCAAAAATCAAGTACAAGAAAATGCGCACAGTGCCTAAAATAGTGTACAACATTGTATGACATTGTACTAATGTCATATGCAAAAAAAAAATAAAAAATAAAAATGAATAAAATTAAAGACTAATTATATTTAAGCCCACCAACCACTTATTCTGTTTACAGAAAGATGGCTGCTAGGACTTAATGTACACTGATTCCAAGACCATCAAATGATAAACACTATTTCAGATTTGTTTTGGAAAGCTAAGAACTTTTCAGCACTTTTCCTTTTATTTTTATTTTGTTTCTTCTTCTATGTGTTATGTTCCTTCAGAAATTGTCAAAAGCATTTCTTGTACTGTTTATATTGAACTAAAATAGAACTAATGATTATACTTACTTGTACTTTGTTATCTAATATTAGTCAAATAAAGCAGTATAAGTGTCTAGTTAAATATTTTTGTTTGCAATACACTTCTACTTATTAACACAGTTGTTAATGATAATAACATTATCAGAAATCAATTATTTTTTTATCAACATCCATGGCATTTAGACCAACTTCTGCAGTGTCGAATCATTCATTGTTGAGATGTCTCTTGATGTCTCTCTGCAAGACCAACCTTAATCCGTCAGTCCCCTCCTCTGACTTCTTAATTTCCCAGTTAACTTCCTCTCCTAAGAAAGGACACTATTACCCACATGCATGGCCTGGGAGTTTACACATGAGACCATCTGCCAATGGCTAGAGAACTCTCTCTGGAATCTCTAGACCATTCATACATGTGTCTCCATCTGTCTCTCCTCAAATCTATAAGCCATCTCTTCTTACTCTATCACTCTCCATCCTCCCAAGACTGTGGTGTACTTGATTGCATTTCTGATAACATCGACAAGGCTATCTCTCTACATCCATCTGCAGACATATTTGTGTTTTCAATGCCCACCTTAATGGCTTAAACACACTGTAACTGACCTTCCTGGCATGAAATCACTTAACTTTTCAATCTCTCACACAAGTCATTGACTTTCCTGTGCATTTCCCCAGCAATCATAATGATAAGGCTTCCTTTCTTGATCTCTGTTTTACCTTCATCCCTGACTCTTTGTGTTGCCACACAGCTCTGGCCTCTTGGCAACTCTGATCATGTCGTCATGTCTGTTTTCATCTCCTTCTACTCCTCCCCCAGTAAGAAACCTCCTACCAAGAGAACATCTTTCTATTATCAACAAGCAGATTGGAACTCATTCTGAAATTTCCTTTGTGATGTCCCCTAGAATACTGCCTTTAACCTCCCCATCTAAAAATATGCATCTGAGGTCTCATCCTGAGTAAAATCTGAAATCGAGGCTTTCATCTCTGCAAGAAAATATAAAGTGAAATCACATTCATCCCCTTGGTTCACAGCTGCTTGTGCAGCAGCTGTTGTCCATAGGAATCACTACTTCTGACTGTACCATAGAGACATGTCTGATTACAACAGATGTCTCTTTATCACCACTCATAATGAATGCAAGCATGTCCTCAAAGAAACATAGTTACTCTTTGCCGAAAGAATGAATCAACATATTACAAGTTTGGTTCAAAAGATTATTGGTGGCTCTGCAAAAGTGTGCTGAACAACAGCAAACCCTCAATATCCCCTCTATTCAACTAATTTGAGGTCCTGATCTCCTCAACTGATAAGGCCAAATGCTTTGCTCGTAAGTTCTCCTCCAATTCAATACTAGACTCATCTGGTGTACCCACACTGGACTTTCCCCTTAGGACTGAGACTCTTTCGAGTGAGATAAACATAACCCCAATGATGGTATTGGGCATCATCTCTAAATTAGACTCCCATAAGGCTAGTGGTGGGGGAAGGATACCAGCCATTGTGCTCCTGAATTGGCTTCTGTCGTCTCTAAACTTTACAACTACTGCCTCACTTTCTTTTGCTTTCCAGCCTGTTGGAAGTCCTCATCTGTTGTGCCTGTCTTTAAAAACTCTGGTGACCCTTCTGACCTGTCTAACTACCATCCTATTATTCTCTTACCACTCTTCAGCAAAGTCTTTGAGACTTTAATCTATGCCAAAGTGCTTAAGCATCTTACTTCACATAACCTGCTCTCTGACAAGCAATATGGTTTCTGCTTTGCCCAATCTACTGCTGATATGCTCACAGCCATAACTGAATTGGTATACCAAACACTCAACGGTAATGGAGAAGCTTAAGCCATGGCTCTAGACATCTCTAAATCATTTGATAGGGTTTGACATGCTGGCCTTCTTTGTAAGCATTCAGATATATGGTATTACAGAATGATTATTTGATTTAATACAATAATTCCTATCAAACCATAAAATGAAGGTCATCCTAAATGGGTTCTCCTCTGGCTCCTTTATTATAAATGCTGATGTCCCCCAAGGCTCTATCTTGGGCCCTACACTGTTCCTGATCTTCATCAATGACCTTTTCAATGTCATAAGTTCCCAAGTTGGCATCTATGCAGACGACACCACTATTTACTCCTGCCTCAATAGTAAATCTAGTATCGTTGACAAAACTAATCTGGCTGCTGATCTCAAAAAGGACCTCCAACCTGTGGTTAACTGGGGCAGTTAATGCCTCCAAAATGAAACTTCTCTCCTGTAATCACCACAGAGTTCTCTTCCTGCCTCCCATCAGAATGACTGATTCCCATTTCCTTGAGAGTGCCTCGTTATGCCTGCTTAGTCTCACGTTGTCCACTGACATGTGGTGAAAAAAATATATTGAATCAATAGCTTCATCTCCCGCAAAGAAAGTTGGCTCTCTGTGTCCATCCTTCAAATCTATAAATCAACCATCCATCCTTGCATGGAATATTGTTGTCATATATGGTCTGGTGTTCCCGCTGTTCATCTCAAGGTCTTTGACAAAATCCAGAGACAAATATACATGATGATAGGTCCTGATCTGGCATCTAGACTGCAATCACTATCCCACAGACATGCTGTGGCCTCCCTCTGTCTCTTCTACAAATATTTTTAGGGCAAATGTTCCAACGAGCTACTGTCACTGTTTCCCGGACTTCATGAATTTAAACTTGCTACCAGGCTGGCATCTCAGTCTCACCCTTTCACTGTCAAAACAATTAAATTTAACTGTCTCTTCTTCTCAAAGAGATTCTTCTCCTGCACTTCCCATCTGTGGAACTCCCTTCCCGTTACTTACTTCCCCATGACTATAATCTACAAATATTCAAGTGTAATGTCAATCGATATCTGATTCTCTGAGATTATTCCTCATCCTCCTCTGTTCCCTTTCCTCAAACACACCTCTTAGCTCTTGTTTTCAATCTTCTGTAACCCCTTGTGTAATAGTGGCACTCCTGCCTTGCTTGGGGTGAATTGCCTTAAAAAAATATATCAAAGCTGGTGATGAGTATTGCTTCTGGGAATTGATTGGTAGCAACTGCAATTTGTCAAGGGTAAATAAATTCTGTATTTGCATAAGAAAAAAATGATTCCAATTAAATTCAAAAAAATTAAATTAACAGATTCCTAGTTTTCTTTCCTGCATAAAAAGTTTCTGAAACTTTTCCAATTCTCATGTTCTCTAGGATATATTTTAAGCAAAAATCACGTGACCTCATATTTCTTCTTTTAATGATAAAATAATTTGGTGCCAATAGACAATTAAGAATAAAGTTTGTTTGTTTGCTTACATAATAAGCAAAGATAAATGGAATAACTTGAGGCATACTATCTGAAACTCTGAAGTTAAAAGCAAAATATAATAGAAAGTAAATATAGTAAAGGATCTCTCCATTTTCCTATTTCTAATATTTGATATTTGCCAGTTCATCTTTTCTGAGCAATTTAAGCAAAATAGCCCTAGAAAGTATAAAAATAATATTTAGATATAATCATAAATTATGACCAATCATGTATAAGAGTGCGAGTTATGAATACTATTGACTGATGTAAGATATTTCACAAGACAAACTTCAAATAACACCAGATTAATAAAAATAATGCTTTATAACACACAATAAAAGCCAATTCTGTTATCAGATATTCTAACAAGGTTAGGGTTAAAAGAAACAAAGAATAAGGTTCATAACTAAGGCTTTAAGTAATTATGCTTGAAAACAAAACCCAGAAAGGAAATTAAATATTCCATAAAAGAATTTATTTGACAATTACAATTCTTGCAATTATTTTGTTTTTAGGAGATGTGAATAAATTGGAGAGATTTTTATACAAAGTAACTCAGATAGATAGATAGATAGATAGATATGAACAGACTAAGATAGATCTGAACAGAATAACATACAATTATATGAACAGACTATGATAGCTAAACCTGAATAGACTACAATGGATAGCAAGGCATTAACAGACTATGATATATAGACAGGCATGAACAGACTACAATAGATAGGCATGAACAGACTATGAGAGATAGGCATGAACAGACTACAATAGACAGGCATGAACGGACTACAATAGACAGGCATGAACAGACTATGAGAGATAGGCATGAACAGACTACAATAGACAGGCATGAACAGACTACAATAGATAGGCATGAACAGACTATGAGAGATAGGCATGAACAGACTACAATAGATAGGCATGAACAGACTACAATAGACAGGCATGAACAGACTATGAGAGATAGGCATGAACAGACTATGAGAGATAGGCATGAACAGACTACAATAGATAGGCATGAACGGACTACAATAGACAGGCATGAACAGACTATGAGAGATAGGCAAGAACAGACTATTATGAATAGATAGGCATGAACAGACTATGAGATAGGCATGAACAGACTACAATAGACAGGCATGAACAGACTATGAGAGATAGGCATGAACAGAACAGACTACAGAATGAGATAGGCATGAACAGACTACAATAGAGGCATGAACAGACTACAATAGACAGGCATGAACAGGCTACAATAGACAGGCATGAACAGACTACAATAGATAGGCATGAACAGACTACAATAGACAGGCATGAACAGACTACAATAGACATGAACAGACTACAATAGACAGGCATGAACAGACTACAATAGATAGGCATGAACAGACTACAATAGACAGGCATGAACAGACTACAATAGACAGGCATGAACAGACTATGAGATAGGCATGAACAGACTACAATAGATAGGCATGAACAGACTACAATAGACAGGCATGAACAGACTACAATAGATAGGCATGAACAGACTACAATAGACAGGCATGAACAGACTACAATAGATAGGCATGAACAGACTACAATAGACAGGCATGAACAGACTACAATAGACAGGCATGAACAGACTACAATAGACAGGCATGAACAGACTACAATAGACAGGCATGAACAGACTACAATAGATAGGCATGAACAGACTATGAGAGATAGGCATGAACAGACTATGATAGATAGATAGATAGATAGATAGATAGATAGATAGATAGATAGGAACAATCTGAGATAGATCGATAAATATAAACAGACTGAGAAAGATAGATATGAACATTCTGAGAGAGATAGATAATAGCAAAAGACAAATATACAGTGCACTATTTGCATTATTCGGACTATTGTCCTCATCTTTGTTGCCATATTTATCACAAAGTTTTAGCCATTGTACACTTTGGCCTTCTTCAGGTGGTTGTGATAAATATGGCAACAAAGATGATGACAATAGTCTGAATAATGTAAATATAGATAAATATAGAGTGATAGATAGATAGATATGAACAAATATATATATATATATATATATATATATGCACAGGAAAAAACAGACAGATATGAACAGAAATATATAGATAAATAGATATGTACTGACAAAGATAGATAGAGAGATAGACATGCACTGACAACAATAGAGAGATATAAACAGACTAAGATAGATATCTATATAGTACGATAGATATGAGCAGACAAAGAAAGAGAGATAGATATGAAAAAAGATACACAAATAGATATATAGAAACATATGAACAAATGAAAATAGATTTGAAGAGACTAAAATAGTTATGAAGAGACTAAGATAGATATGAAATGACTAAGACAGATATGAAAAGATATATACATATGAAAAAACAAACATAGACAGATAGGTAGATAGATATAAAAAATGATAGATATGAACAGAATAAGATAGGTATGGACAGACAAAGATGAATAGATACATAGGAAAAGATGAAGATAAATACAGAGATTGATATGAAGGGACAAAAATAGTTAAATATGATAGATATAAATATGATATATGAACAAAGATAGATATATATGCCCAGACAAAAATAAATAGGTATAAACAATAAAATAGATAAATATGAACAGAGAAAGATAGATATGTATAAAGTAAAGAACAAAGATATGTAGATAGATATATAAATATGAATAGACAAAGGTAGGTAGATATATAGATATGAACAGAGAAAGATAGGTAGATATGAACAGACAGATATGTGGATAAATGTATATTTATATATATAGACAGCTATTAACACACAAGGATAGATAGATATGAAAAGACAAAGATAGATATGAACAAAGATAGATAAATAAGAAAAAAGATACATTAATAGAAAGATAGGAACAGACAAAGATAGATAGCTTTGAACAGACAAAGGTACATAGATATGAACAAAGACAGATAAGTAAATAGATATGAAGAGACAATGACATAGATATGAACAAAAATGGACTGATAGAGAGATAGATATGTACAAAGATAGATTAATAAATATGAAAAGACTATGAACAAAGATAGACAAGAACAAAGATAGATACATAGATATGAACAAAGATAGATAGATAGATAGATAGATAGATAGATAGATAGATGAATAGATGATGACCAAAGATAGACAGATAGATATGAATAAAATAGGCAAATAGATATCAGTTGACATATATAGACTGATAGATATGAGCAAAGATAGATATGCACAAACAATGATAGATAGATGTAAACAGAGCAAGAGAGATAAATATAGACAGACTAAGAAAGTTACATATCTATAAATTATGATAGATATAAACAAAGATAGAGCGGTAGATAGATATGAAAAAAGATAGATAAAAACATAATATAGATACTAATAAACAAAGTTAGATAGATGTGGAGAGACTATGATAGATAGATACATATGAACAATCTGAATGAGATACATAGAGAGATATAAACAAAGATATATCTCTCTAAGATAGATATTTGTATATAAACAGACTAAGATTGATAGATAGAGAGTTGTGAACAAAGATAGATAGATAGTTAGATATGAACAGACTGAGATAGATATAGACTGACTGAGATTGATAGATATGAATATACATAGATATATATGAACAGACTGAGATAGAAAGCCATATATGTGTGTGTGTGTGGTTATTAATGCTGTGTACATCTGTGTAGAATCTAAAAGAAAATGAACAAGAAAAGAGTAAACTTGTAAGCAATGGTGTGTAATCGAATGACAAAAAGAAAAAATATCTACGTAATTTCATCCTTTCCAAAGATTTCAACTAACTAAAAGTAATGCTCTTATTGATGGAATTATATATATATATATATATATATATATATATATATCATAGGAGGGAATGAAAATATAAAAAAATCATTCATTATAATTACACACAGAAGAGGAGCACTAAAAATGTAGGGATGCTGAACTTTTTGAATTTTAAATTTCAAGTAAGTGATATGTCTTGACTAACAGCTATATATATATATATATATATATATATATATATATATATACATGTGAAAAATATATAGAAAATAGGAAAGAACTCGTTAGGTAATTTATGTAGCGTGTTGGAATCATATTTTTAAATAAATAATCATATATATATATATATATATATATATATATATATATATATATTTCATGCATGTATATATTTCATACATGTGATATGTATTTCATGCATATATATATATATTTCATATATGTGATATGTCTTGACTAACAGCTATATATATATATATATATATCATGCATATATATATTTCATGTATATATATATATATATATTTCATGCATATATATATATATATATATATATATATATGTATGTATATTTCATGTATGTGATATGTCTTGACTAACAGCTTAGTTGAATTTCTTCAGTTTCAGAATTATTCTGCTATTGTTTTCTCAGTTACATCATTTATATATCATACTTCTATATCGTTTTTGTCATGTCAACAAACACTTATTGCCACTTTTGTAATGCTAATGAATACTCGTTTTAGTAGAGACTTTGTAATTGCAGATACAACTATAATACACCTTAAATTTGAGTATCGTGAATAGAGTAGAGAATAACGGTCTGTATAGTAAAGTAGAAATAGTGATCCGAATAGTAATAGAGGATAGAATAGTGATGCGATCAGTTAGACATCATGCTACTTTCTAATTATGCATTTCCTCTATGGTCATGTGGTCTATTTATTTCAATAATGGGATCACCTGTGTTCGACGCTGGTGATCTATGTTCAAACTCAAGTGTTGGCAGTGACACTTTATTCCTATATAATGATCATATATGTAACATACTTTTATTTTACATCATTTTTTTATTATTATTTATTATTATTTATTGTTATTATTCTTCCATCCAAATGGTTCAAATGAAATTATTAATCAAAAACAAATCAAGAAATCAAAGAAAATATTTTGGAAAATAAAAAGCAACTTTTTGTCACTTGATCTCTTGTCTTATTCACCTAAAATCTCAAATTATGTTTTTAATAAATGAATATTTTGTTTTTCTAAAATAGAAAATTCTGCTACAAAGAAGGCATGTTTCCAGTTATATATTAACAATAATACAATGCCAGAACAGATATGAGCAACACACTGCATTGTAATTAATTGTCTGGTTTGGTATTTATTGATTTATTACTGAAGATATTTTTTATTTTTTTTTATTTGTAGTCAGACGAGGTAGAGGTTTGTTCAATGGTTCCATTGATACTGCATTTGTTTGTATTGTGCAGCAGAATAGACATTTTCTTGGTGATGCCTTTCATAATATCTATCATTTTTGATTATATAATCAGCCTAAGATCTTTCTTTCCACAATAGCCTCTTCATGGAAATGGTGCTAATTTGCCCTCTATTTGCCTCCATAAAATTCTATCAAAAAAATCCTGTTTCAAAAAAACAAAAAGAAAATGATATCAGTTTGAGGTTATTGGCTACTGAAGCTATTAACAGTCTTTGATATCCACATCAGTAATTTATTTTGTTTGTTTGCTTTTGAAAAGCTGTCAACATGAATATTGATTTGTACTTGAAGCACAAAGTCTAAAAGTGACTGTGTTTTGAAACATATTTTGCTTTTTAATTCTCTGAACATGGCCCCTGGTAATTCCTGTTTTGGCGTCTATCGCAGACACAAATAACATTAGATCAGAAAATAGGAAATGCAAGCTACATGAAATTGGTAATTATGATATTTTTTCATAAATATGCCAATTAAAATGTAATGTCTTGAGCAGCGATGTTAATAATGGTTTAAATAGAAAAGGATTGACAAACGATAATTCAGCATTTAACAATAAAAAAATTGCTATAGACCTAAAAAATGGGTATTGTCAGATTTAATATTAAATCTATTAAAATATTATAAATGACGAGCTTGAGGCCAAAGTCAGGTTTCTTCATAAAAAAAAGAATGTCTTCTGTTGACCTTTAGATTGGAGTAGACTGTTCTAGTTCCACATGCCATGTGTAATGGATGTCAGTTATCAGTTATATCCTAGAACTAGAACAGTCTACTCTAGTGAGTGAAATAAAGGGTTCAGTTTGACATTCCAACCACCTGAAGAAGGCCGATGCGTACAACGGCTTAAACGTTGTGATAAATATGGCAACAAAGATGAGGACACAAGTCCAAATAATGTAAATAGTGTACATAATACCTCATTTCAGAAATATAGACAGATATTGGATTTTATCTAGTGTTTCTTTGAGCCATAGTATCACAAATTTGGATGAAGACAAAGAGCCCAGAATTATGTCAAAATCCACAAAAAACTTTTCATCTTTTAATAGTTGTGCTTAGTTTTATTTGTACGGTATATAAATGTAGGTAAAATAATGCAAGGTATTGCCCAAAGAGGGGTTCAGAAATAGTATACGCAGACCCTGCCTACGAGACAGATTTTGAAATATCTTCAGGGTTTTACCTGCAAGATCATTCATGGAAAGTTGAGCTATATCAGGTAACATTTTAGAACTTAAAGAACAAAAAACAACATCATTAAGTCATGATTAAAAAAAAAATCTTATTAATGGAGATTACTCTCACTAAAGATTTTCAACAAATTGTTGGTTTCTTTTTACTGCTTCAGGAAGAGAACCAAAGTGTGCTCTATCTTTACAAGAGCCAAATCAGATCAAAAATGAATTACAGCTGTGATATCTGGGATGGAGCTGCCCAATCCTCTGTTTCCAGCCTTGATAGAATTCAAAAGAATTTCTTCCATGGCCTTGTGGGTGATTAATTATTTTCCACTCTACAATCCCTTTCCCATAGACAAAATGTTGCAAGCCTCTCTCTAATCTCTCGCTATTTCTATGGCAAATGTTCTGGTGAATTACATTCTTTAATTCCCCCACTTCACAGCTAAGACTTGCCATTCTGCATACATTGGAACAAACCATCCCCATTCCCTTCATATTCCATTAGTAAGGAGAACATTCCTTTTGGACAGCTTCTTCCAAAGATCCATTCCTTTTTGAAACAGAGGCCCAACTAGATACTTCTTTGATCACTACAATCTTAACCTCTTTAAGTCTTGGGTTAATCATTATTTCCCTATATATCATTATAAACTGCACTTCTTACCTCCACCTCATACAACCTCATTCAGTGGCTATATACTTTGAGTACTTCTTATGCCTTGAAATGGGTGAACAATTATTTTAAAAATGTGTTTTATCCTTTCAAGACATGGGTTATCATAGTCCTCCACCGATCCTTTTATCTTATTGCTCTCAGTAATACCTTCTTCATTTTAACCCACATCTTTATTTTTGCGACATCCATTCCCTAACCATTTACTCAAACTCACCAAGTTGTTTTCTCACTGTTTTTCTCTGTATCCCTTATCTTTGATGCACCAAGTCAATGTCAAACTCAACAAGCCTTCTTTCCTCATGATATATCTGGAAAATTTTGTCTGTCTGCCATCATGAGTTTCCTTGAAGTTCCTATTCAACTTAGAACTTGCTCATTTGTTGCTCATTCTGTCCAAGGTTGGTTCATTCTATCACTCCACAAAGAACCTGACACTTTCTGCTATGCTTTATCTTTACAAGAGTCAAATTAGACCCAAGATAGAGTATTGCTATGATGGCTGGATTGGAGCTGCTCGACTCTCACTTTCCAGCCGTTATCAACAATAAAGGTAAAGTTCCACTTAGCTACTTTGTAGAACAGACTGCCAAGTGGATGCTTCCCTGAACATAATAATCTCAACCTTGTCAAATCAAGAATCAATTGTTGTCTATCCTCCTTATCCTTATAATCTTCATTTCCTACTTCCTCTTCTTTCATTCAGATCACAAAGCTTATTCATAATTAGCATTTTAACAACAACAGCCTACATTGAGTGGCTCTCGAGCGTTTTATTGGATGAACTTTAAAAAATTATATTCCCAACATGCATCAGTATAGCCACATCTTGGTTATTTTATATCTTTTCTGATGAAAAAGTTCAACATTCTTTGTCATATAAGATGGTAGACATTATATATCAGTAACTGATAAATAAGTATTTAAAAAGGCAATCTTGGATTGACTGGCAACTGAAACACCCTTTTTAATTAGAAAAGATCTGATAAAAGAAAACCTTACCATGTTTACACAGCCCAAATAGGTTTAAAAACAATTCAGACTCGTATTTATGTTCAAAGATCCTGTTAAGTTCTTAATACATTTATTTAACTGAAAGGTTGCTTATCGCTTTGGCATTTTAAAAATGTCAGAACATTTGGGAAGCAACTTATTTTGTGTTTATAGGACATTTTATTTTTTTAAATGGCTTTTTTTTTCACTTTAATGAACTAGAGATCTATGTCAGTGAGAAATGACCTTTGATCCCGTTAAGAGAAATGGCAGCTGTGATTAAATCCATCCAAAGCAAGTTGGGAATGCTTAATAACTTAATCTGACTGCAGAAGAATTATAATCAATCTTAACTGGAATGGAAGTATTTTTTAGCTGTGATAATTCTGGGGGTCATGCTTGGGATATGAAATGTTAGGACACAATTGTGCCAATGCTGAAAGTTAGAAAATGTAAAACAGGAAATGGAAAGGCTGAATATTAACATTCTGGGAATATGTGAAATGAAATACTATTAGACAGATCATTAATATACAGTAGAAAGAGGATAAGACCAAGGAAAGAAATCTATGGAATGCCAGCATTAATCTTGTTTCCAGTAACTGACTATTAACAACAATCTTCATGAGCCTATCTATTAGAAAGGACTTGATAATTGAGAGCCCTTCCAGAGATTCCATAACTGGAGAGTTTATTTAGCAGCCCCTGATAATATATCTTGTCAAAGGCTGTGGATATATCTTGAATGGCAGTCCTCATGATGAATTCATTATCTAGTGCTTCACTGATTCTGTGGGTAATGACACTTAAGATATCAGCTGTGGATCTAACAGGATGAAATCTATACTGATACAGGAGGTTGTTCTTGTTGAGAAAATAATTTATAAATTCAAAGAGTTTTCTGATGGGTCAATATTATGACAGGCATGAGTGCTCACCTGTATTCTTAAAAACAGGACAGAAAATTGGACTTCTGAAGCATCTCTCTTTCAGGCAGTGATTAAACAGTTTGGCCAGAATTGAAGATAATGCTGAGTTGATAATCTTAAGAATGACCACAAGGATTTTGTCCGGATCAGTGTCCTTTCAAGGTTTTGGATAATTCTTTTAAGTCTAATTTTTCACACCATGATAGAGATCTAGTTTGTGCCTATGAGGAGGAGGATATCAAGTGAGAGGAGTACTTATCATCTAACATAGTTTTCTTTTGCCATAAGATTCACCCTGTTCAAAGACCAGGGGTCACTCAAGATAGAGGGTTACACTAAGGTGTAATTTATATGGATAGGAAAGGAAGATAATGGTTAACTCTAATCTTGAACAGGTTAAGATTGTAGTGATCGTGGAAATATCATCTTGGGAGTCTGTTCCACAGGTCACTGGTTTGCATGAAGAAGCTGTTTGATTAGAACTTACTTCTCGCCAAGGAATACAGAGGAAATGTGGGTGGTTTGCTACTATGTAAGTGGCATAGTGGGTCCTAGCCATGAATGTTAGACCTGACAGAACCATGGAATGTAGTTTGTCCAAGAACTTTCCACGGAAATAGCAATAGAACACTGAGAGACTCACCACATTCTACCTGTTAGAGAGAAGTTGGAGTGTGGAAAATAATTCTTCTCCAGTAAGAAATCAGAAACACTTTTGAACTATATCAAGACTAGAAAGTGAGGTCTGGGTAGATCCTGACCAAATATGGTAACAGTATTCTATTTTTGGTCTGACCTGGATCTTCTAAAAATAGAGGATAGCATGAGGAGTCAGGTACTTACTAGAGTGGTGCAGAAAACCAATCATTTCACCTTCATAATGTTCATTGCAAAGAGTCTTGAGGATGTAATAACTTCAGGACCCTTTATGATAGCTGGCACCTTTATATGCATCCACATTGATAAGATTAATGGTAATATTAGCCATTTCCTTATAAGGAAACATTCAGTGTTCATTGACTAAGAAGCCAGTACTACCATTGGTTGAAATTTATAAAATCTTTCTATTAAAACAATTTTTCAGGATGTTTTTCAAGTCCAGTAGCTGTTATTGCTCTTTCCAGTATTGATGGGGGTTTCCTTCTTAACCTTTTGTTTGATGTTGTGTGAAATGTCAGTATTTATTATGAAATGTCAACATCTTGATTAATGTTTCTTCATAAATTACTTTTATATCAGACTGGTTTTTCATGACAAAAACAGAAGAGGAATTTGAGTTTGTAAAGGAAAAAACAGTTTAATGTTGATGGCAGTGAAATTAGGACAAAATATTTAATAATAAAACCATTTTTTAAACATACTAATTTTATAAAATATTGGCTTTGATGACTTGCTGAAAGATTGCCCAGAATAATTTTTGTTGACAGAAGTTATTCTCTCCAGGTTAATTATATTTGACAGTATTATTACTCTTATCTTTTTTCCCAAAATGTCTGAAATAAATACAACCATTCTGTCATCATTATTTAAAAATTTAAATTTTATTTTCAATTGCTTGATTGGTTAGAATTATTAATTTAAATTATCAACAGAAATAAATAAAAAAAAAAAACACTTTTTATTTTCAAGAAGGGCAATTGGTCAGTTTCCCAATGAAGGTCTGGAATAATCTGTCTTTTATATTAATGGGAATGGCAATAATAGCCATTTCCTTATTAGGAAACATTCAGAAACAAACACAAACATCTTGGATCTTCTTCAAACCAACTGTCGATTATCACTTGGTCACAAACCCATTTTTCTCTGCATTCATTATGTAATCTCAGTATATACTTACCAACCATTTCACTATTTTGTTCCTTTTACAATTTCACATTCAATTTCACCACAATAATAATCTTATTTTGTGACTTTAAATGCATTATAAAATTTATTTCTTCTTCTAAGAATTTAATGTTTCTAGAATACATAAAACAAAAAGCCAAAAGTTAGGAAGGAAGCCGCCCCCCCCCATCAATACTAGAAAAAGCAATAACAATAATATATTGGACTTGAGAAACCTATTTTCCTGAACAATTGTATTTTTAGAAAGATTTTATAAATTTCAAATAATGGCAGCAATGGCTGTTTGGTCAATGAATTCTGAACAGGAAACAAGGGATACACCTCTGCTCCTGTTCAACAGATGTGGAAAGAGTGTGAACTAGATGGTAGGTAAACCTATCTTCTTCTATTGAGCAATAAACATAAATAGTAAAAACATGTCAGAGATTTGGCTGGGACATCAGAAGTATAGAATTAAAGTAGACTTTAGAAGGAACCAGAAACATAACTCTAAACTAGAAATAAGGGATAAACCTCTACTCCTGTTCAAAACGCTAGGATGAGTGTGAACCATATTATAGGCAAATATATTTACTCTTCTTGAGGAAAAATAAATAAACAGTAAA